CCATGGCCTCAGATTGGGAGGTGCTGATTCTCACCCCAGCCGCTTCACACTTGGCTGCAAACCGCTCCAGTGCACGCTGGAGATCCTGGTTTGATGGAGCCAACAGGACAACGTCATCTGCAAAAAGCAGAGACAAGATCCTGTGGTCCCCAAACCAGACTCCCTCCGGCCCCTGGCTGCACCTAGAAATTCTGTCCATAAAAATAATGAACAGAACCGGTGACAAAGGGCAGCCCTGCCGGAGTCCAACATGCACTGGAAACAAGTCTGACTTACTGCCGGCGATGCAAACCAAGCTCCTGCTCCGGTCGTACAGGAACCGGACGGCCCTTAGTAAAGGGCCCCGGACCCCATACTCTCGGAGCACCCCCCCACAGGGCGCTGCGAGGGACATGGTCGAATGCCTTCTCCAGATCCACGAAACACATGTGGACTGGTTGGGCAAACTCCCATGAACCCTCCACCACCCTGACGAGGGTATAGAGCTGGTCCAGTGTTCCACAGCCAGGAACCCCAAATGAGTTTACTTAAGTACTCAAGTATTTTATTTAAGTGGCATTTTGAGTTCTTGTAGAGTACCAGAGTTTTTCACTGAATCATTTTTTGTTTGTTTCTATTATTTTCTACATTGTAGATTAATTCTACAATCATTAAGACTATGAAATAGCACAAATGGAATTATGCCTTAAGCAGTAAGTGTTAAAAAAGCAAAAGTAACATTTCATATTTTAGATTCTTCAAAGTAGTCACTATTTGCCTTAGTGACTGCTTTGAACAGTACTTGTAACATCTTAACCAGCTTCATGAGGTAGTCACCAGCAATAGTTTTCAATTAACAGATTGCCCTGTTTAAAGGTCGCCTAACCTCATCGACTACTGTTGTAATCTATGTTATGGCAACAGCCGCTCAGTTAAGTAAAGAAATCGACAATCCATCATTACCTTAAGACAAGTTCAGACAATCCAGAAAATTTCAATAAATTCTTTTCTTCAAGTGCTGTGGCAAAAACCATCAAACACTATGATGAAACTCATGAGGACCATCCCAAGAAAGCAGGACCTAGTGTCACCTATAGGATAAGTTAATTAAAGTTACTAGCTGCAGAAACTAATTGCTGATTAATGGCACATCAGTAAGACAAAAGCAGTATCTAGTCGGGGCCTCACAATTAAACAGAAAATTGTGTGTGTATCAGAACTTTGTTACAGATATTCATAGAGGCCTGACTCCTTAAGAGCTCTATATTTAACTGCCTAACTGTATATATAGTAGTTAAAATGATCAACTACAAGTGCTACTTTGCATGAATGCATCAGTACTGACTAATAATACCATATATAATAATATATTTGTCACAGGGGCCATTTTACAGTAGAACTTTTACTTTTGATAGCTTAAGTATGTTTTGCTGGCACTTTGAGTATGATTTTGAATGTAGGACTTCTACTTGCAACAGAGTATTTTATATTATTGTGCTAGAACTTTTACTTAAATGAAGGATTCTGATATTTCTTCAACCACTGATTACCAAGAGGAATTTAATTTTCTCCACCTGCAGTAAGTAGTTATTCTTAAACATACTGGAACCTGCTTTTCAGCCCCTATTTCCGTCAGTGGCAGATGTTCATTTCGGGGAATGGAGCCTCCACTGGATGCCTTTCTACCATAGTAACAACAGAGGGATTACACTGCAGGGGCTAGGTCTCCATAGTGACTGACAAAACCGTTGGAGAGTATCCAGAATGGTCACTTTGTAAAGGCCCCTGAATCATTCACTCTTTCTCTTGCTGTCTCCCTGTGTGTTTGTCTCTCTTTGTGCATGTGTGAGTGGGTTTGCAGGGAGAGACTGGGGCAGGTGAAACACCCCACACTTTAATTAGAGCTTCACTTCAAACAATAAGTTTCACTTGCATTAGCATAACGTTCTGATGGATAGCTTACCAAATATTCTAATATCAAATTTTGAATTAAATTATCCATATCCAAAGTGACACCTGCAGTCATTTAGGCATACTTATTTCAAGGATAATATCCTCACACAATCCAGTATGTCAGTGACCATCACATCACAAGTGTCACTTGCATATGTCTGACTACATCAGGGGGGCATCAATCAGACCAACAGACGGCTGCTGATGACACACTTTGTCATGCTGAATGACTAGAGTGAGATTAAAAAAAAATGTGAAGAACAAAAGAAAATGTTATTTACACCTACAATATTCATACCCTTCTCAAGGTGATTGTTTCAAAGATGGTTAGTTATCTTTTAGAGAAACGGATGGTTAAGGTTAACTTTCTATAGGAAACCCACTTCACACTTCTATGAGTTGCATTATGGTAAATGTCAAATCAAGTGTTTTTGGAGAGTCTTAAAAAGAATTTAAAACTCAGGATGTCTTGGCTTTGCTACACTGCTATTGCCATTTCCTTTTATTACTCAATCTCACCCAAGTTTCTCAGCAGTATGAAAGTGCAATACTAAATCTTTGGTGTATCTTATTTAACTGTAACTATAAATAATATATATAGAAAATAAAAAATGAAACGTTGTTTATTGAATATTATTATAACCAAAAATAACACTTCTCAGATCTCACCAGTCACCATCATTATGACAAAATTAAAGCCACTGTGTGTAAATGTACACTTTTGCTATGTTTTATAAAATAAATAAGAGGCACAACTCTCTTCAGTGACCACATACCACACAACTGTGGAGCTGCAAAAATGTTCTTATTTGATAAATTACAGAACATTTGTAGCAGCAGTACAACAAAGTAATCACAGCCAAGACAAACAGCACACTCAAGACCAACATGTATGAATAATTCTCTGAACCATAATGTCCGGCTGTCATAGTATGGGACAGTATTGACCACATCCCACATGGAGTGTGTCCTGGGACTCCTGTGGTTGCAGTACCCGACCTCCTCCACTAGATGCCCTTCTTGCTTGTGTCACAACTGAGGGCTCTCCCTCAGGATGTACTTTCCTGTCTGGTATTTTAAACTCAACTGATGTAAATGAAGACAGGCTGCCATTTTTATTTGCCCAGGCTTCAGAAGTAGCAATAGTAGGGGACACCCTGAAGCCCCTCCCTTTGACACTACTATCTTTTTTACTGCTTTTGACACTGGAATCGTCCAAAAATGGGTCTGAATCGCTTCCATGTGGCATGTAGTAGTAGGTACATTTTGGAGTTTGAGGCTTCGCCATCTCCTCGAGCCCTGATGAGGATATGACTGCAAGGGGGTTGTGCGGGGTTTTATAATGATGTGGAGAATCCTCGTTACTGTTTTCCTGGCCTGTATCGATGGAGGTGCTATCCAAATTACCATACATTCCCAGGCAGACTGGAGGAGATTTTCTTATGAGGTGGTTCTCCTTGAGCAGCCACCTTCCTTGCTCAATCAAAACCCCTTCAGTTGAATCCTTTTCTGAGGAGAAAGAAATGCACTGTGTGGCCTCTGGTGCAGCTTCAGCATCTGCATTTAATGAGCTTGCAGCACTGAAATAGGACAAATCCTCCTTTAAGGTTTTGGTCTGTGAATCATGGGCAGAGAAGTTCTCTGCACTTTTTAATCTTTGCAAGACTTCAGAATTGCTTGCACTTAGTTTGGACTTAGTTCGCTCCATGTTTGTTTTCCCACTGGGGATGTCAGTCTTATATCTGTAGACAGGAAAAGGCCTCTCTGAAGCCTCTTCTCCACTCTCTGTGACAATATCTACAGACTCCTGGGTTTTGTGTCCACCACTGTCTGAAGTTTCTGGCCTGTAGTCAGATAAATCAGAGGTGCTCGGGCTTGGGAGACAACTTAAACCATATGGACTATCTTTTCTACTCTTTGGAATAGCAATTTTCTTAGTTTGTACAACCGCATAATCTGGTTCTATCCTGAAGTTCCCCTGAGCATCGGAGGTGAATATAAGTGAAGAAGACTGTAGGGCATAGTTAATAAAGTCAAGTAACTCCTGTGATATTTCCACTGGATGTGGCAAACTGCAAATTGTTTCTTCATGGTGCTCCCCTCGCCCATCTTTTTCAGGTTCATCAACAGTTTCTATTCCATTACCTTTAGCATCTTCACACTGACCATTAGATAAAGATTTGGTTGGTGATTTAGCATTATGGATTGTACAGTCCTTAGCATCAGTATAACTGTCTACATCTTTTGCAGTGTTTTTTTCTTCTGCTTCATTCTGTGATTCTTGTTTTTCTACCTGGTCTAATCCCTCATTCATCACATTTTCCTTATCATCTTCCCTCCACTCTACATCTTCCATTTGCCCTGCTTTCATATTTTCTTCAATCTCAATTTCCTCTGCAGCTTCTCTCTCTTCTACTGATTCCTCCTCCAAACACTTTTCTATTTTCTCAAGCTCTTTCCTGCTCTGTTCCACCTCATCACACTTTTGTTCCTCTCCTACATTCTTGTCAGTGTCTACTGCTTCCTCCTCCTCATCTGGGATCATCCTTTTCTCTGTATTATCAATCTCATATCTGTCTTCCTCATAATGTTCCTCTTCCTGTTCTTGCTTTTCTCCCTCCTCCTTATTGTTTTCCTCACTAATCACTCCTGTTTTGTCCTCTTCCTCATCCCTTTCCTCAATAACCACATTCATTTCCTCCTCCTCCTCCTTCTGCTCCTCCTCCCCTTCCTCCTCCTCATCTGCCTCTTCAACTAGGTTTTCTACTTCTTTTTCCTCATCTGTCTCCTCATTAACCTCATCTGGTTCTTCTTCTTCTTCATCATCACCCTCAGTAACCACATCCACTTCTTCTTTCTCCTTCAACTCATCAGGGATGTTTTGTGCCCCCTTTATTTCTTCTGTCTCTTCATTAACCTCCTGTACTTCTTCTTCTAGATTATTCTCAATAACCACCTCTGCTTCCTTTTCATCATTCCTCACAGTAACCTCATCCACCTTTTCTTTCTCCCCCATAGCATCAGTGATATTTTGTACCTCCTTTTCTATATCCTCAGTAACCTCCTGTACTTCTTCCTCTACATCATTCTCAGTGACTGCCTCTGCTTCTTCTTCTTCCTGCACCTTCTCTTCCTCCTCCTGCTCTTGAACTATATTTTCTACTTCTTCTCCTTCATCTCTCTCCTCAAAAATATTTCCCTCTACATCATTCTCAGTAACCACTTTAGGGACATTCTCCAACCAGTTTTCAACATATGTGCGGATTTCAGAGGGTGTAGGATTAAGCGAAGGCACCAAAACACTCTCACCTAGCTCTAAAGATTTTTTAGATGATGATATTTTGTTTTCAGTTATGATTTTAGGGTTGCTGACTTTCTTTTTACCAGGCAAACGTGATTTTTTAGGTTCTAAAATGTCTGGCATTTTCTTTTTCACTCGAGGCCTTCCAGTGGGAATATTTACATTCTGGCCATTGTCTCTAGCAGCTGCTTCAGTTATGTTTTGTCGTTTAAGTGGGCTGCCTTTTAAATGTTTGGTGTTAACCAATAAGGATGAGTCCTTCCTGGGTATCATTTTGTCTTTAATTGATTTCTTAGACTCAGGTTTGTCTTTTTCTTTGTTTGACCCTTTTCTCTTTTGACCATTTTTAGCACTTCCTGATGAACTCCAGCTCCTTTTCCCCATGCTGGCATTGCTGCTGAGCTTGTGAGTAGATGAATGTTTGTTATTTTTTGAGAGGCTTATTATGCTTTCCTTTTGTTTTTTATCTGAACTGTTTGTTGAAGTTGAACTCCTGTGATTCTTAGAAGGTTTAATCATCTTTTTACTTTTCCTACATTTAGGAGTTTTTATCTTTTTTACTGTCTCCTCACTTTGGGGGTTTGTTGCTGTTTGAGCTTCATTCTCAGTCACTAATGACAGATTGTTTGTAAAAGTAAGTGTTGCCGTTTTTGGCTCCAATGATAATGATAACATGTCCTCTTTCTGCCTTTGCTGTGAGTTAGCAATGGTTGACCAGCAGCTAAAATCTATATCACAGTTACTGCTGGATGAACACTGTCCTGACTCCGTGGATGGTTTGCTATCTGGCACCGGAGTGGAACCATGCAAAGGTACACCATCTGTGCTATATTCCTCATTTGCAGAATTGTTGTTGTAGCAGCCTTGATTCGCATAAATATGCATCACAGTTTCTGTAACCTCCACCCCATTACTCTGTATCTGAAGGACTTCTGCTACTCCTGACGACCTGATGGGACAGTGGAAACCTTTGCTGCTGGCTCCTGTAGACACTGTTTGTTGAGGCGCTGTGATTGACTGGTTGTTGCTACTGTTATGTCTGAGAATGCAGGATCCCTCAGACGACTCACCATCAGCCATTCTCTTCATATAGGAATAATGGCCCATGGTGTTCTCTTGAACCCTTGACTCTGTCACCATCTTCATGCTTTCAACAGATGCTGTCTTCCTGACATATTGCGGAGCCGGTGTAGGAGCACGTTTTACACTTGTTTTTTCTTTTCCCAAAGCTGTGGAAGTGTAGCCATCATGTACTAGCTCACTGTTAAAAGTGACGCCCTTTCCAACTCCAGCAGGATAGTTCTTCTCCTTAATTTCATCCTCATTGATACTAGAGGAGTCTTTGGCAATGGCATTGTTTGAGTTCGGTGAGCTTTTGCCCAGCTCAGAAACTGAAGCACAGACAGTTCTCTTGCTAAGGCTGGAGCGGATGAGTGTGGTAGTCCAATGGAGCATCTCCTCCTCTTTAACGGTCAGGTGCACTTTCATTTCTACAGTCATGCTGCCATCTTGATTCACACGGAAAGACTTTTCAATATCATCATCCTGAGGTACAATGCAAGTATGACGCTCATTATCTGGCCCCCCACAAGTGTTTGTTGACATGTGATGATGATTGACTTTTGTTCCATTGAGCTGATGAAGTTGAGCCTTCATGCTTCCATTTTGAGACTTGTTTATCTGGTTAGCAATATAGCGCTCTGATGATAGGGACAAGTTCCTTGAGTCTCTCACACTTGAGGAAGATTTGTTGTTCTCTTTGGTTGGAGATGATTGATGAAAACACAGGGGGTTGTAAATGGTGGGAGAAAAAATATTTTAGTTCATAAAACACTTCAAGTAGTATTCATATTAGTTTGGTAGAAATATTTGGTAGAAAGAGATTGACAATTTAGGAAGTTAGTTGAGAAGACTGATACTGAAACAAAACTATCTGCAACAAATATATACTGTACAACTAGATACAAGTGATTGCTTTTTATAATTTGAGTGAACTAACTTTTTAGCTGCTAAAAAACAAAACAGGGTGAAAGTTGCTGTTAAACTCCATATATTCCAGAATACCAGATGGGCCTTTTTATGAAAATTTGCATGTGACATACTTTACAGTTTACCCATAAAATGTATTGACACGTACGAGCTCTGGGCTGCAGCATAGATGGCTCCACAGTGTACATGACCTGTGCCACTGGACCCGTTTTGTGAAAACTGTAGTTGTCTAATCTGAATGGCTCATTGCCTGCTGCCACAATGACTCCAGAGCATAAGATAAGTGCAGCAAGACTGTCAACCTGAAAGAAGAGGAGAAATATGTTTGATAGTAGGTCAATGGCAAAGTCAAAGGAAATAATTGTTGTTTAAATGAAACACTGCAGTAACTACTTAAAATTTTCCACATGTTGCACAGTATATGCAACTGAATAAGACATGCTATGTAAGTATTGCAATCCTCGGCTTTTTCTATAAAATCAAAAACATTTCAGTATGCAATATTAACTTCATGAACAGTAATGCTGTTTTTTAATGTTATTCTAAAACAGACTAGAGATCACAAACCACAGAGAGGAGTAAAAGATGCATTCAAATTTTCTCAACATTCATGACCTTTACCAGGAAACGAGTTGTTGTTGTTAAAGGACACGTGGGATTACAGAGTGATAACCCACTGGGGCTTAGGGAACCTCTTAGCACTTCTTGGAATACTTACAGTATAACATGTAAAGTAACACAGTAAATGTCCTGCTTCTTAATTCCAGAAAACATGGAACACATCCATTAAAAATTGCAGTTCTCTACAGCCATTCATTGCTTCTTGTTGCTATCTAAATCTTGGTGTTTTCTTTATAGTATTTTAAACAGAATTGTTTTGGTGTAACAGTCAAAAGCTCAAGAACAGGTACATAAGTGGACCTTGAGTTAAAATTAATTGTTTATTTCCTGTAATTCTCTACATGTTGACTTATCCATATTAGTAAATATTTGCACATAGACAGATTTTATTAAGTTAAGCCTAGATAAAGCTTAAGTATGACCCATTTCACAATTTAAAGCTGCCATTTATAATATTTCAGCACTTGCTTTATACTAGCATTAATGCAAAATTATTCCCATTTTGTCTTTACCAAATACTTACTCTTCTGCCATCTGGAGAGTAAAGTTTCAGCACTGGGAACTGAAGGATTTGAGAAAGGTAATCCAGCAAAGCATCAAATGTTGGTGCTGTTCTTCTTTGCAAAACAATTGTGCGTTTAACAGCTGGATCTCTATTTTTGATAACCACAAGCCTCTTTGGTGTCCTCACTGCCACCCTCTCAGTGACCTTTGCTGGCCTACTGGTAATATTGTTCCTTCTGCCAAACTGGAGTCCTTGACGCCTACGTCGCCCTCCTGCGCTGAGGGGTTTGGTAATATTCCATGGTACCTTTCGCCGGTTCACTTCATCCAGGTTTAAGGGCTTTACTCGTTTTTGATCAGAACACACATAAGATCCACCATCATGTAAGTCATCTAAACCCTTAACAAGGTGGATCCCATGAGGTGTGGTGATGGTTCTCACTCCAAATGGCAGAGGCACTTTCTTGGACAGAGCATCCAATAGAGCATCAAATGTTTTGAAGGTGCGAGCATTGATGACCATGCGATGCCCACTGAATTTATAGTCACCGCTTTTGTAGAAACATATTCTTTTAGAAGCTGAGGGACCAGAGATGGACTGTAATGATCGGGAGGGTAACATCTGCCCACTGTCAGATAAAAGTCCCTGAGCAGGTGGCACCTGGACAGGTGTGTTGCTCATATTGTGTGGATGTGGCTAGAAAGAAACCAGAAAAGGGAAAATGTTCTTACTGTAGTGCAGATGATCACAAACTTGCTTCAGAAGTGATACTTTTACAAAAAAAAAGTTAAACTTATAAAAATACTCAGTCAGTATAACACAAAACTATTCAACAAAATTGCAGACTACATCTTCATAAAACATTTGAATCAGCACATATATGCTAAACCTGCTTCCACAAAATAAGTGAACCTTATCACATGAATGAAATTTGTATTTTTTGCAGGACTCCTGAATTAGACTGCATTAGCTTCAGCTAGGTGTACCTAATAAACTGCAAACTGGGTGCATATATTAATATCTTATGTGGATTTATAGGAATTAAATTATAGATAATATGGTTGTAGTTGGCCTTAATGTTACATAATTAGTAGGCTTAAATCTATCATGGTAGAAAAAGGAATAGTTTTGTAGAAGAGATAAGACCTGGTGTTAGCATAGAACCCCTGTTTATCCAGTTAAAGAGGTTTCATAATGTTATAGCCTATTAATAGACTACACAGACAATGTGTTCAGTCTCACAAACAATATCACGGCAAATTAACTCATTACACAACATAATAAGCTCCTAACACCCCACCTTTACTGTGAACAACACAAGTCTAACTATGAAGATACAAACACATAGACAAAAACCATTCACAAATGAAACATATCAACTGGCCAGACAAATTACACCCTGCCAAAATAACTGACTGGCAAACAAACTTCACAGTGGAAATGTAATGAACATGGCTTACCGTATAACTCACATTTTCCCTTAATTATACAACTAAAACAACAGAAAGTATACACTTGGTATTCCTCTGAGCACTAGTCAAAGCCTCTCAGCTGCGTTTCAGGGTTATTTTGGGACATGCAACATCATGGCCAATTTGCTTAATCTTTGCTCACACTTAATCAGCATATCAACATAAGGTAACCAAGGCATCACAGAGGAGCTGTATACAGCAGACAAAAATGTATACTTTCATTAGTATGAGTTCAAAAAATTGTTGACAATATGGGTTCCTGAAGGAGTAGCACTGCAATTACATTTGATCAACTGAATGAATCAGTAGAGTAAAGGACTTTAGTATCAGAATGAGTAAGTAAATTAGGAAGGGGTGGTGAAAGTTCATGAAATGATAAGAATATTAATAAATCTTTGCCACTTCAAATAGATACCACAGATGGCTCGGACTGTTTCTAATTTGCAAGCAGCCTGTATAATCAGATTTGAGAAGTCTTGGCCTAATAGGGATTAGGTTAAAGATTTTGCACACTTGCTGACAGCACGAGGCATAATACTTTTTTTTTTGTTTGTTTGTTAACTACACAGTATAGGAAATCCACCTCCAGATTTGCAGATATACAATGCATCAGTATCTGCATTTTTGAGTTTACTGCTGCATATAATTAGTTCGAAATACAAAAATATTGTTTGGAATTCTGCAGCCAAAATTTGAGGGCTGAAAAGAATATCCAAAAGTTTGTGCCTTGTAGCAGACTCACACTTTTTGGTCTGTTAACAATGGGAAATGATTTAATTGTATCAGGGGGTGAGAGCTGAGTCAGTGCTCTGGAATATCAGACAGTGTGCCAATTACCAACTGCTCTTGACTAAGTGAAAGCTGCAAAAATCTCCCACTACCGCTGCATAGTCCCCTCTGGCTTCAAATGCTCCACTATCATCCTGGTCCTCAAAAACCCCACCATCAATGGACTAAATGACTACAGACCTGTTGCTCTGGTGTTGGTCCATCTGATGGACATCACAGGCCCACTGTGGGTTCAGCAAACAAACTGGACAGGAACAGGCTCCAGTGGACAGTTAGGACTGCAGAAAAGATCATTGGTGCCAACCTGCTCTCCTTAGATAACCTGGTACACCTAAGGGGTCAAGAGAAGGCTAGAGCCCTCACATTCAGGACACAAACTATTGTCCCATCTGCACCTTCTGATTCTGAAAAATGTTGAAAATGTTCTGACACAATTTCCCTGAGGCATAATTCCAAAACCCAAAGAAAGTAC